CCTCCTCCTCCTGCTCCTCCTCCCCCTTGCCTTGAGAGCCCCAGCCACGTCGCCCTCCTCAAGCAGCTGGATGGACTCTCCCATGCCCTGGGCGCTGCCGGCGCGCGGGGGGGAGGGGGTAGGGCCCTGTTTTCCGCGCGTGGCGCCGCCCGCGCTCCGGCAACGCCGGGCGCGGGTCCCCGTGGCATCCCACTCGCCAGAACGGAGGGGCAGGAGGACGACGACGACGACGACGACGACGCCGACGCCGACGACGACGACGACGTCGAAAACGACGACGACGACGACGACGACGAGGTTTCAACGTTCTGTGCCTTCTGCTGGGCCTCCCGAGGGACCTTCGTGGCCACGGCTGGACGCAGCACAAACAGCTCAGTTACCAGAGCGCGCCCCAAGGCAGGTCCAACGGTCGGTTTGTGGTGCAGGGGGCCCAAAAGACTGGCGCCGCGAACGGACCGTGACGGCCGAGTTCGCGTCGGTGGGCCCCTGGGGGCATATTTCCGGGCCGCGGGGCCATGGAACAAAAAACACGCGGAGCGAACAACTGGTCCCAAAGATGTGGTCGGGAGCGGAAGTGGCCCACACAACAAAAAAAATGGGACTGAGGAGGAGGACCGGGAGGCAGAGGAGGAGGAGGAGGAGGAGGAGGAGGAGGAGGAGGAGGAGGAGGAGGAGGAGGAGGAGGAGGAGGAGCGCGCCCACCGAGAGAGGGGACGGCCGGACAAAAGCAGGGGACGAGAAGAGAAGAACTGTCAATGACCAATATGACAAAACACACGAGCCACGCTCGGACAAGCGCGCAGAAACTGCTGTATGCGTGCACGCGCGACACGCGTTGGTGCGACCCGGGAAATGCGCAGAGGTAGTCCATGCATTGCAAAGGGTCTTGAGGAAGGAGGCCAGCACACTCGGGGGAAGGGCAGGAGCATGACGGGGGAACGCAATGACAAAACGCGAGCCCTGCTCACGCGTCAGGCCTGGATCATACCGCTGCGCACGCACGCCGTACAAGCACCCCATTGCACTCTCACTGCGGTCTTCGCTGCGCTGAAGAAGAAGGTCATATACCTTACATTGAAACTGTGCGCTTTCACGTGGGATCCGAGTAACACTGGTGAGATATTTCCCAATGTCCCACAACGCCTGGAAAATCGACGATCTGAGCCAGGGGTGCCATGCCCAAGCCACCACGCACTCGTCCTCCCAGCTGAACTACGAAAGCAGCTCTACTGACGACTTGAAGGCATGACTTCTCTGCGCAACCCGAAACAGGGCAGCCCTGCATGTGTGTTCAAATCGATGAGTTTGGACTGGGAACCCCAGCGTCCGGAAATCTAACAGCAAAGCAGGCGGCACCGAGCTACGAGGTGCACGACATATGCCCATGGCGACTCCCCTCTCAGCACGGAGGTCTTTGGGAGTAGGCGGCAGCAGTTGTCCGACAAACGCCACGCAAGAAAAGGATAACCTATTGAAGGGCCATACCTTTAGCGAACCCAACGCTCAGGGCGGTGACTTCTTTCCCATGGACGCAATATTTCAACCGTGGACATGCCCAGGACGCCTCGCGGCTACCCGGGCCCAGCGTAGCCCCGAAGTGCCTACCGTACTGAGCTGCGCGACAGGGAAATTCGTCAGCGCCAAGTGCAGCAGGACCCCGGCGCAGGGCCCATTCCGAGTATCTGCCAAGAGGAGCAACTACTGTTTTACCCACGTGCAAATGAAGCCCTACTGCGCGGCCTGCAATCCTCCACGCCCGAAGGGGCGTCGCAAGCAGCGCGGCAATCTGACCGCTGGCCCCTCCCGCGTCATCAGCAAATTCCCCTGCGCAGCGCAACCAAAGAGAAAAGAGATACGATGCATTCACCGCAACATGTCCGCGGCCGCCTTGCGACGACAATCCATCTCCTAAGCGCACCTGTTGGCCTGGAAACCAGCATTCTGAGGATGGGACTGGAGAGGGGCACGAATCGGCTGCCCGACAAGGCACAGCCTTGTCGATCGCGCCGCAAGCACCAGAATCCGACGCCCGAGCAACCTCGAAATCGAACGTCGACCGAAACGTGGTCGTAGAAAGCCTCGATCGCGCGAATCACCCACCGCGGCGTGCCCATGCGCGATACAACCCCGAACGTTGCAACGTGGACAACAGACGGGAACGCCGCCTCGATGTCATGCAACGCGAAGCCTGTGGTTTGGAGGGCGCGTCGCGCTAGCCAGTGGAGCGCCTTAGATTAAATATTGATGTTGTTTGACATGCTGCGGTTCCGGATGAAGCCTTTCCGGCTGCTCAGACATACCATCTGAAAGATGTGCGACAGTGCTTAGTCTAAGCCTGGGCCACCATTATGCGAGACGTGGCGGAGAGCGTCAACCGACGCGTATGTTCAGGCTGGCAGGCAACGGGATGATCAGCGGAGTCAACGTCACCTTTCGCCGGAAAACGGCATGCGCCGAATGGAACTTAAGCCCGAAACGCCCCGTGGTAATCGCAGCTCGGCATACGCGAAACAGAAGCGCATGGGCCTCAGAACCACAACGAGCCCATGCCAAGCACGATGCACCGTCATGCCCAGGGGCTGAGGGTTTAGCTTGAAGCAGCATGTGCGTGAATTCAGCCCCCTCCATTTCCAAAATCACATTGCGCGGACAAGGTTGGATGAACCGGACCAGCTCCTCCGGCGCCTCCAGGTAGACCTCGGCGAGAGCATGCGCGCCGCCCCAACGGTCAGCAAGTGCTTGGGCAGCAGCTTGGGCGCCGAGGATGGGCCAACCAAGCGGGTCGGCGACGCGCGCCAGACCCACTCGACGAGACCTGGAACTCCATGTCGAGCTGCACTTGCACAACTGACCCTTGCGGGACTGCTTCTCGGCAGCGGAGCTCGGGTTGTTCTGCCAGTCAAGGTCGCTAATGCGTTTGTCAACCGCCTCGCGTTGCCATTGTCCTAATAGGTCATGGTGTCCGCGCCAGTCGGTGAGTGACCAAGTTGAGCAATCGAAGAGGGCGCGCAGCTCGGCGAAGGCAAAGACGGCGCGTCGGAGCAGCCGAGGAGAAGACAACAACGAAGCGCGCATGGCAACCATTGCCCGGGCCGCCTTTTCCTCTGCAGATTTCGCCCCAGCGGCTCTCTCCCCCTATTGCGCTCCTTGGCGGCGGCGCGCAGCATGTCGGGCGCCTCGCCCGGGGCCCCGACGGGGTCGTCGGAGAGCGGCCCGGCGCCGGCGAGCAGGTCATGGAAGATCAACGGGAACTGGGCAGCCTCTGCAAATCCAAGCAGGGATAGTCCGAGGCCCAGGGGCCCGCTGCAGCTCAAGGAACAGAAAAACCGGAACGCGGTCAGACACAACAGATCGGTCTGCAGCACGCCCCAGGACGCCCGAGGACGCAGGAGGAGGAGGAGAGATGTCTGGAGGTTTGCGGAGGGAGCCTGGGAGCCCTGGAGCAGCATGCTGGAAGCCTGCCGCTAGCACCGCGCCAAGGGGCTGATCTGCGCAGCTCCCCCCATCTCGCTCGGCGCTGCTTGCCGCGCGCGACGCGGGCCTCGGCGCGCCCGCCTATCGGCGCGCGTTCTTTTCTCGGAGCGCCCGACGAGCACGTTCTGCCCAGGGGGGGCCGCGAATCCACGAACACAAACTCTGCCTGGCCAGCGCGAAGATAAAAGGAACAGGAGAGAGGGGGGGGGGGAGCGCCAGGGGCGCGACTCCACCGTGCGAGGTGCTACTCGACCGCCCTATGAAAGTTGGCGGGCTGCATGGGCCGCCCCGAATCATGCCCCGAACAGGCAACTGCAATCTTCCGCGAGGTGCCCCAGAGCCGCGAGAAGTCCAGACCCGCCCCAACTGCCTGCAGCCGCGTCGCAGAAGGCAGCTGCAACAAGGCAAGGCCGCCAGACGGAACCCGTTGCTCCCTGATGATGGTACGCATGCTTGTGTTCCCTAATCTTACGTCCTGTATGGGGCGCGCGAGAACGCAGATTCACTCGCGTTCGTGGGCCGACAACACGCCGACGCGTTTACGCAGCGGGATTCCTACTCGACTGAATTAGTGGTTGCCGCGCCGCGCTGCTACCTCGAGCGCGAATTAAAAGACCGATGCCAGCCGCCGCGAAGCTTGCCCACGCGCGTGTACTGCCCATTCCAGCCGTTTCATGGCTCCCGCTCTGCAGACATAAAGCTGCCGTGCGTCTCCAACATCCGTATTTAGCAGCTGGCAGAGAAACAGCACAAACTCTTCGTGATCTTCCAACACGATATCTCACTACTTGAAGGAAATCGTGTCATAATGCGAGATGGCTGGCAAACGCACCCGGAATAAAGTAATCGCAGCTGCCGCGACGCGCGGCCCCACTTGAAATCCAAGACGCGCAAGTCACCCAACGCCAGCAACAATGCACTGTGCTCTGGGGCGCCCCGCTTCTTCTGCAACAACTGCGGCGTGCCCCCTTCTGCTTCTGACAATCGAAAACGCTGTTTGTGGCCTCGGTCAGAGCTCCGAATTCAACCGTAAGCCGGGCCTCACTTCCCCAGCTCAACGCGCGATGGCCTGGATGGTGGACGCGGGCAGACGTCGGCGCGCGCCACAGAAAGGAGGCCAGCAACGCCTACCACAATCTGGCCACGTTGCCACGGAATGATTCGGGACTATAGGGGGCGCGGAACGCCCAAGCACGTTGATTGTCCTGCCAGCTGCACTAGCACTCTCTTCTGCCAGCGTCGCCGACAGCGCCACGAGGGCCTCGGGCTTCGACTTGCTTCGCATAGTCGCAAGCTGCGCCCAGCAAATAATCGCAACCAGTCGAAACTTTGACGCATACCGAGAATGAAATCTGCCGCCTGGTCCATGTGTTCCATGGCCCCCAAAGAACTAGCTGATGTCCTCCAACGATCTCACTCAACGCGTCGCAATCTGGTCCCCCCCGGCACGCGCATTCAAAAGCGGCTTGGGCCCTGTCGAAATGTCAAAGGTCAGCGCTGTAAGATAAAACTAGGGCGCGCTCAGCTTCCTCATTCACTGCTCTCCTTGATCCCCTCTTCTCGCTGTTCCCGTCGTTGTCGCCAGCGTCGGACATGCCGTCGGCGGCTCTATG